GGGAAAGGGAGAAGGGCGGATTGTTTGCTCCTGACAGGTGCCTCTGCGGATTTCTGCGGCGCGGAGCGGGGGGTGATCTCCGGTTTCCACGGGGCCGCCTGCCGAGGAGGGAAGCGGCGAACCGGCAGCTCTGCCAGTCCCGCTCCCGGCCAGGGGGGGTGTCCGGTTATGCGCCTCGCAGCTTGGGCCGGCGAAAGCGGGGGGTGTGGAGTGACGCGGACACCTTCGCCTTCGGCCCCGGGTGTCGCGGGCAGTGCTGTTACTATGGAACTGACGTGCTCTTTGTGAAAAATACTAATAAAAAACAACCAGCGAAAATGCTGGGGAGTGCATCCCACAGCGCAGCGTACCCCGGGGGGGGATCCCGATGTCAACCCCCATGACCTGCCTCCTGCTGTGTGGGGATATCCTAGCCATCCCCCTGTTACCAAGGCTTCCTGGGGCTCTGAGTCCCTGCTGGCCCAGGGCCACTGTTAGCTGGGATATTGCTGTAGTTACTTGTGATCAGGGATCAGGAAAGACCCCAGGAAATCCCCTGAGGATTGCCTCTACAAAAAAAGATGGCTGCCTCGGGATTGAAGGTGCCTTCTCTTTTACCTCACATGACCCCAAGGTTAGCAAAGGATTTAGCTTGACTAATGAAGGAATTACGTTGTGTTGGGGGATGGAAAGAGGATTAAGCTTTTCTCCAGGGGAAGCAGAGTTGTAAGAGAGAGGCTGAGACAAATAAAATGAGGTAAGAAAGCCAGGACTGGAAAAGGAAGTAGGATAGCCATGTTTATTACGGGCCTATGGCAAAGGACTTTGAGGGCAACAACTACTCAAAACTTTTTGCCATTATGAAAGGGTTTGCCATTGGAGAGCCCCCTTAGTAGAAAGGGAATCTAGTAATTTTTAATTTACAAGGAATGGTGTCCCAGCAGAGTAACTCCTCGTTTGGTGGAATTAACTGCTCATAAGGCCTGGAGGCCATTTGTGGCAATTTGCTTGATCCCTCTTTAAAATTCAGTGTGCTGGGCTTGCAAACAGGTGGAGCTATGCTCCACCGAGTGACACATGGCTGCTTCAAGTGCAGTGTCTTGTATATTTAGCTGCTTGAAAGGAGTGGAAAGAAGGGCTGTTGGGAAGGAAAAACGATAGGAGGAACACGAGCTGATATGGCAGGGTTGTAACGGGTGGGTATGATGAACCGTTAAAACCTTTTCACATGAGAAAAAGTGCATGTCATGAGGGGGGTCAGTGAAAACTGATGAAGGTTAAGAAATGGGACACCATCACAGAGGCTGTAGCAACAGGAATAAACAGTGTCTGTGAAAGCCAGATCTAAAATGGACAGCCCCAGTCTGCTTCAAAACAAGAATATAAATAAATAGTTCTGGCAGAGGAACAGAGGCAGCACACTACAGTGCCTGTTGCCCAGCAAGCTGCTGCTTTGAACCTTGTATCAGCAAGCGTCTGTTTCTCTGGTGTGAATGGCCTGTTTTGCACAAGGATAGCTTTTTATGCAGTAACTAGGATTAAGTCAGTTTCATAGAGAAGCAGTTTAGGGTGTTTGCAGCTCTTGAAGGTCTGCTATGTTGGTACTTGGTTTTGATTCTTTGTACTGTCTTAATTTTCCATGGTTGCTTTCTCTTCTTGAAAAGATACCAGAAAATTTGGAGCTTAAATTAAAGTGTCAAAATCGGTTAAAGCAATGATTGGAGTTGGAGCAGCACTGTCTGTCAGTGGGGTCTTGGTACTCACGTACCTGCTGTGCTTCTCTGTGCTGGATTTGCCTCTGCAGGCTGCCCATTTTAAGTTCACAAGACAAGTGTCCTGTAGAACGTCTAGTCATTCAGCTAAATTTGTAAATTCAAGTAAGTCCAGGGTGCTTTAGCAGAGCAGCCAGTATCCACTAGGCTTTCGTACATCAAGGATTTAGGTAGGAGTTAGGAAATACATTTCATTGTTTTCTTTCTAAAGAAACTTCTACTGTTGTTGAGTGATGATGACAAATCCTAGAGTCAGAAGTTATTTTCCCGTAATGCATAGAACAGCAAGCTATAAATTAGCTGTTGCTGCTCAGGAAAGAGACAAAGAGATGGTCAAAAGTGCTTCTAGAGGAACTAAGGAAAACCAGTTAGTTTTGTGATGCTCCTCAGGATGTTCATCTTGAGTACACAGTTCTGGTGATCCCTAAACAAGAACAGCGTAATATGTTAAAATAGGTGCGGGGAATGGCAGCCAGGATCATCAGCAGTATTGACTCGTTTCCGCATGAGGAAAAAATCAAACACACTAGGACTATTCAGTAGAAGGAGAAGGAGCAGCTGTGGAGGATATGCTAGAAGTCTATGAAGTGAGGAGTGGAATGGAATAGATGAAACTGAGAAGTGGCTGTTGACTGTCTCTCACAAAACAAGAAGCAGGAAGCACTGAATGTAAAATTATCAGGCAAAGGTTGTAGTTTTTATGCAACATATGATTCATCTTTGAAATTTAGTGCTGTGGGATATTGGAGAGGCTGAAAGTATGAATGAATAAAAAAATTACAAGGCAAGTTCTTTGTCTATGAGTGGCTATTTATTACAGTGGATTGGAGGAGACCTGTGTCTCTGAAGCTCTCTAAACATCAGCTTCCAGGGACCTGGGAAGGTAGGCTAGAGAGAGTCTTTCAAAACTTGCCTCATTCTTATGTTCCCTTCCTGGACATCTGGTACTGGCTCTTTGGAGAATGAGGGCACCCCATAAATATCTCCAACCCAGGGTGCCATTTCTCCTGCTCTTACAGAACAAAAGCCTCGTTAGGGGATACTCCACACTTATCCCTCATAAATGCCTTCTGTTGCAGTATTATCAGTCGTGTTAAAAATGGCACGAGTTCCATCTGGACATCTGGCTAAAGGAAATCACATATAAAAGGATAGAGTAAGGGGAGGTAAGAGTCACTGGCAAGAGTAACGGCCTTGCATAGCTTTTCATCTTGCCTCACTCCTTTCTTCAATGTACTCTTCTCTACTTATCTTAAGTTCATTTGAAAGAGATGTTTTTCCCCTGTAAAACTGTAAGGCAGTTGTATGTGAAAACTGGTTATGTGATACTCTCTTTTTTTTGCTTGGTTTTAGTTAATAAATTGCATTAAAGTGAAGTAAAATGCATTAAATTTTCATACCTGTTTCATACTTATGTTCATGCTATTTTCTCATGCTTGCTGCAGCAAAATTTCCCATAAATATGTTATCAGTGGTGGGTAGAGAATTGGGCTTTTTTAATAGTAAATGGAAAGAAGAGTAAGTCTCCATTAAGATGAAATCTTCGCTTGTTCACTGAAGCGACCCTTCCCTTATGAGCTTATACAAAACGAGAACCCGTTTCACAGTGTATCACTGAGGCACCAGCTTCTTTCTGTTACAGATCAGGAATAAACTCCTCCACCATATTAATCAATCATAATGTAGCCTGCAACGTGACAGTTTTCAACATATATTGCAAATAAATAATCAAAGTCTTATATTTTTTATATTGCTTCCTTTCTGGTGATACCTTTCAGTTCAGGTCAGGTCTTCAAATGTTCCTGGATTGAAGCTGAAGTGAGGAGTAATAAAAACTATGAAAGATCCTTCATTCTCACTGTTAGTAGAGACACTAACTTCATAGAATCATAGAATAGTTAGGGTTGGAAAGGACCTTAAGATCATCTAGTCCCACCCCCCCTGCCATGAGCAGGGACACCACACACTAAACTGTGTCGCCCAAGGCTCTGTCCAGCCTGGCCTTGAACCCCGCCAGGGTTGGAGCATTCACAACTTCCTTGGGCAACCTATTCCAGTGCCTCACCACCCTCACAGTAAAGAACTCCTTCCTTGTATCTAACCTAAAGTTCCCCTGTTTAAGTTTAAACCCATTACCCCTTGTCCTACCACTAGAGTCCCTAATGAAGAGTCCCTCCCCAGCGTCCTTGTAGACTCCCTTCAGATACTGGAAGGCTGCTATGAGGTCTCCACGCAGCCTTCTCTTTTCCAGGCTGAAGAGCCCCAACTTTCTCAGCCTGTCTTCATACGGGAGGTGCTCCAGTCCTCTTATCATCCTGGTGGCCCTCCTCTGGACTTGCTCCAACAGCTCCATGTCCTTTTTATGTTGAGGACACCAGAACTGGACACAATACTCCAAGTGAGGTGCATTTCTTGGAGAGTTTTTCCCCTCCTTTTGCAAGATGCTAAGTAGAGCAGTAGGAACTGATCTGTATTTGATACTACCTCTTGCAAATGTAAGGAACAAAATGCCCGATCATTTTAGAATGATGAAGAAGAAATAACTTTGAAGGTAAAGGGTGATGTAGTTGTAAGAAATTGACTTAGAAATTAGTAGCCTCATGGTTTAATAAGCCAGGGTATGATTGGTTGTGTTGTATGTCAAGAGTGCAGATAACCACAGTCAACCTCGCTTGCTTTATTACATTGTCATTTACATTAGAGACTGGGACAAAGCCCTCTATGCTTTCTGGACACAGAGGGAGTTCCAGTTCTGGCTTCTGTGGAGTTGGAAATTCAACTTGGGTTTCTCAGGCAGCCAAAGAAACAGCTGAGATTACTTCTGTATAAAATAATCCACAGTCCTCACTGTCCTTTCTTTGCAACTCCTTCTAACTTTTTTTGTTTGTGGGTTTTTTTGTTTTGTTTGTTTGGTTGGTTTGGTTTTAATTTTGTTTCTTTTTTTCTTCAGTGAGAACTCTTTAAGCCAGAAAACATTATTTTACTTCTGTATTTTCTTGCTTGGAAAGCAGAAGCTGTAACAAAATATGTGAGGTAACAGTGGAATGAAAAGAGGAAGAACAGGAAATGCGATGAAAATTAGGAAGCAGTGTTTAAACCTGCTGTATCTGAAGTTAGTAGCAAAACTCTTGTTAGATTGCAGTCAGTTACTTAAAAGAACGTGTGCCTATCCACTGCAGGTCGACCTTACGCGGACCTTCACCTTCCGCAACTCCCAGCAGACGTACACAGGAATTCCCATTATAGTGGCAAACATGGACACTGTGGGGACATTTGAAATGGCCGTGGTTATGGCAAAAGTAAGTCTTGATTCTCATTTTTGCAACAATTGGGAAGCCATGGGGTGGTAGTGAGCAGCCCTTGTTAATTTTTAGCTATGTTTGTTGGTGAACAGGGGGGGCATGAGTTAAAAAAATACAGAACAAGAAGGTGTGATTTCACTGCAAAGCAGCTGTGCTTTTACAGCTCCAGATACAAGATTGTTTCAGTGGAGATGCTTACTGGGAAGCTTCCCTCTTGGGTGTAGCTTAGCTTCAGGTGGAGCTTCTAGAGCTTAGTTTTTGAGGTCTTTATTGTGCTCACTTCCAGAAAAAAAAACTACTAGCTGACAGCATTTTTAAAAATGGAGGTTACTGGATAAAGCTGCCACAGTCGGGAGTCACAAGTTAATTAGCCTCTGTCCTCAAGACTCAGGTTACTTTCTTGCAGTGCTTAGCCTCATTCAAAATATTGATGATAGCTTCATGAAACACATCAGAAATATGATCCTGAAAGGTCGGCTAAGTATACTAAGTTACCTTTGAAAAGCTGTTTGGAGTGGTTTTGTCTGTTGTTCACTGTTACTGCTTCTTTAAAACAGTAGGAGCCTATACTTAAAATAGGAATTTCTGGTATCTTGTTATTCTTCAGTTGAGGGAAAGATGACTAACTTGGACATTAATATCAGTTTTCTTATTTTTGCTAGCATGCAATGTTCACTGCAATTCACAAGCATTATTCTCTGGAAGAATGGAAACTGTTTGCTGCCAATCACCCAGAATGCCTTGAGGTACATTTTCATACTGTAAATTATTATGGTTTATTGCTTTGTTCTGAACTCACATACACTGGAGTCTCTTGGGAATGTTGTTGTCAAATGGGGTTTAAGGAATGAAGATATTTGCTGTTCTTAAATGCATTAAGGGAAGTGGCTTGTCCTGGTTTAAAAAGGGTAGCTGTGTGAGTCCATTATGAAAGTGCTTATATTAAGATGCAAAAAAAGCAAAGTTTATATATGCTTGGAATGGAAATGGAGAAGTATCCTGAGCAAAGAAGAAAATACTTGGGAATAGGTCTAACCGCTGTGCTTCTGTTGCTGTTGGGAGTTGTTGTAGTGCTGGTGATGGAGAAGCCTAAGACTACAAATGCAAATAGTCCTGAGTAATGCAGCAGCAAACTGGCCCTGCACACCCTTGTGCTAGGCAGAGTCTTTGCTATCAGATTTGCAAGTGGACCCAGAGCCTGCAGGCTGGCAAGACCCGTGTGCCTGGCCCAAGTAGGGATGAGCATTGAAAGTTATCAGAGCCTATGTGTCCTCCATTGACCTCCTTGCACTAGAGCTCACGCTGTGCTACTACTAGCTGTGCTGCTCTACTTGTCCACAGGGTCCTAGCCTGAACCATTTAGTAAATTAAAACATTGACATAGGTTCCAACTTTTTCATATCCAGATTTCTTCTGTGTTCTTCTGGCAGGCCCCTACATCAGGAGAGGCATTATAGGAATGTGCCTGTCTGTCTCTCCTCCTCCTCAAGAGTTCAGTGCAGTTTTGAAACTTTTTCTATGTAGAAAAGAATACCACACAGCTGTATTGTATCTTCACCTGTCACATATTTTAGAATTGTATTACAAAGACTATTGATTACAGGATTGTCTGAGAAACAGCTGATCGCTTAGGTTCATAAGGGTAGCTTATGTGTCACTGTAGGATAGATAGTGGTCTCAGGAATATCCTGTGTCTGAACACTTTGGCACTTAGCTTATTTGTGGTTCATAATCACTGGAGTTGGATCTCCTAGTGATTAAATACTGATTTGCTCTGTGACCTTGGATCTCCACAGAGGCTTTGTGGGCCAGCAGCTCTGGAAACTATTTTTCTGTTGGAAAGAGCTCATCGGAAGACAGAGGAGGGAGAAATCTGTTTGTTTTCAATGGTAGCTGACCCTGCTTGAGCAAGAGGGTTGGACTGGGCAATCTCCAGAGCTCCCTTCCAAGTTCAACTGTTCTGTGATTCTGTAGATCAAGGGTGTGTTTGGTGAACTTTAAAGACCCAGGTTCCACTCTTGACAGTGCCACAGATTTTGCCAATCTGCTTTCCCGGAAATACACCAAGTAAGGGCTTCTTCTGTGGTTGTGTTAATATGAATGCACTTGAGCCTTCATCTATCTCAGGTGATCATATTTGCCTATGAGAACCCTGTTGTGAATTAAGAGCTGATAAAAATGCTAATTTTGCTTTATTTCGGAGCCTTTAAACAAAACAGAAGTAATACACAGATATTTGCAGAAGGGTATTTATTTTGTATTATGTGATGTGATACTCACTAGTTTCCAGCACAGGCTATGCAGATAAAGATATATTAAGTGTGTGTTTATGCCATTTTTGACAAACTACTACTTCCTTTTGTTCTCCCTGTCTTTCTAGCATGTAGCAGCAAGCTCAGGTAGTGGAAAAGCTGATTTGGACAAATTAACAAGTATTCTAGAGGCCATTCCACCTATCAGATACATTTGCCTGGATGTGGCAAATGGCTATTCAGAGCACTTTGTGGAGTTTGTGAAGTCTGTCCGTGCCCTGTTCCCACATCACACCATTATGGTAAGTGTGTAGCGAGGGTGGAGGGGGTGTGTGGGCATTCTGTCCAGGAACAGGGCCCAGAGTTTGGTTGGTAGGCATCAGCACCTTTGTGGTAACTCCATCAATCTCTGAGTGCTCATTTAATGAAAGGGAATGGAAGAGAGAAGGAAAGAGAGAAGGAAGGAAAGGTCTGACTCAAAACTCTTCCAGACAACTGCATGCCGACAGCTCTATTCAATACCCTTTCAACTCAGCAAGATGTTGACTCTCAGCCAAGTGATGGCTGTTTAATAACGTGTTGGCATTGTCAGTCTTCCATTGTTGATAATTTCTGTGGGAATGTTCAGCGTGTGCTCTGATACAGCAGTTTGATGTTGGCATGGCAGGCTGGATGGATCCAATTTTTTTTACTACTCGCATCCTCCTTCCCACACCATATGTGACTTCTAATCATAAAGTGAGTAGGTTTATTTTGGTGATCCAGATCAGAGGTTTGCTGTGGGAATGCATCAGCATTTCTGGCCGATTGAAGCCAATGGCTGTTTTCATCTATTAGATCACTATGAAGTCAGCTGAATGTAGACTAATCCTTGCCTACGGTAAGATTCATAGGGGTGTTGTGCAGTTGTGAATAGGGTCATCAGGGAGCAAAACAGTCAGTGTTGGGGCTTTTCATGTACCTTCTCTGATGTTACTATCCCTTCTTAAAGTGCGAATGCCATACTTCCTTCAGCCCTTTTCTGCACCAAAAGTAGGGCGTTTGTACCTTCTCTGATGTTACTATCCCTTCTTAAAGTGCGAATGCCATACTTCCTTCAGCCCTTTTCTGCACTAAGAGTAGGGCGTTTGCATTGACACAGGACTCCATGCAGCAGAACCCTACTTCTCCTGCTTGTTTCCTAGGGCCTTTAAAGAAATGGGTCTGAATTTGTTCCATGAGAATGGCAGAAATTCTCAAACAAGCAGCAGACTCTTCATGAGATTACCAGCCTTTATTCAAGCAAAAAAAAAATCATGTGTTTAGGCAACACTTTCTCACTTTTTTCATGCCAGACACGCAGCTTCACACATCTAAAGTAAATGTGAAGTAAAAATGGTCATATATGCATACTCTGACTTAGTTCAATAGGGAACTGCATGTTCAGGCAGTTCAGGGGAGACTGCATTCCTTTCTCCCATGTCAGAGGAAGCGTTCTTGCCTCTGAATGATGGTGGCATTGGAGAACAGAAATGGTCTGGGATGCCTGTGGGGTTCAGGGTTACCATAGGCTGATGAATAGGCATCCTTCAACAGGTACCAGCAGATGTCGGAACCTTTCTGGTATGGCCATATTTCCCATGGCTTTGAGGAGAACTTTTGGAAGCATGAAATGATAGATGTTGGGCTTTCTGAGCTTCTGGCTTGATGTTCATTGCAGTTAAGGAAGGAGCTGTTCCTTTGCCTTGGATCTGAATTATTGTCCTTAGTGACATGATTACTCCAGTGTCTTTGACTTGAAGAGTAGTAGGAGGGAGCTTAAATCACATAGTTAAAAATAATAGATCTTCCCTATCAGAAGTGGAAAGAAAACTGCGTGTCACCTCCTTCCCCATCTCCACACAGACTGCTGACTGAGGAGGGAAGTCAACAAAGATAAATTGCCCAGAGGCCAGTGTCAAAGTCATGTATCAAGCCCAGATTTTAGTCCATGGTCCTTAAGCGAGTTTCATCCACCTCCCACATCTGCTAAGCTACCTGCTTAGTTTCTGTGCTTCCGTGGCTAAGTTATTGCTACTTCAAGTCTTACTGTTCTGACAGCACCACCTCTTTGGGTGCATCTACAGCCGCCTTTGATTGTAGTTCCTTCCTCTGAATGTGGTTCAGTATGGCTTATGTTTTTCATCTGCTGAATAGGGATAATTTCTATTCCTAAAAGCATGCTAACAAACTTGGGGTGTTCAAAACCATTCTGTGTTCCAAAACCTCCAGAGTCTGTGCAGTCTCTCAAAGTCTCTGATTCAACTAGGGACATGCATCTTAACCCCACTTCCAAGTTAGCTGAGTTTACAATCTGTGCCAAAATGGTCTTTTGAGGCTATTCCTGGCTGAAATGCAGGAGCTCCTCTAGGCTCCTTTTTATGGTACTCTGGAAGACATGTCCTGCTGCTACCTGTTCTGTCTGCTTTGATGTATCTGTGCTATGCCTGCAGTATGCTCTCTGCTGTTGCGGCTTTCAAACAAAAGGGTTAGCAGTTAAATAGAAGGTATAAAAATAAAGAAGCTTTCTCATAGCTGAAAGTGATCTCCAGGACCTTGCGGGCTGTCTTGTTTGCTTTCCTCAGCATGACCATTCATTCCACAGTCAGCTGCAAGTGCAGTACATAAGAGTAACCCAATCCTGGGCTCAGGGAATGTGTGTTCCCAGGGGCCACGTAATGGGTTCAGCTCTGAGCTGAAAGGTGATGTGCAAAGCAACTGTGGTTAACATAGTACTCTCTGCGGCTGGTACTCTAGTGGAGGTGGAGGATGTCTCTTGTGTAACAATCTTTCAAAGGCATGCTTTTGCTTTTTTAAAATACTTGCTTTTATAATCACATTACCTCATTTCTTTTCTGCCTGGCTTTGGCACAAGCTCTTTTCCCTCCTGCCTTTCCTGTTAATTTACAAAGAAGATCAGTTTCTCCATGGAACACAAAAGATAAGGAAGACAAACAGGGGCACAAAGGTACAACATGACTTGCTTTAAATCACTCGTTAGATTGAGGATGGAGGAAGAAGCAGTATTCAAGTGTCTCGAGAGTCTCACAAATGCAGCACTGCCCTGCAGAATCTAGAGTAATGGTCCAGTGGGGCATTCTGTTGTAGCACAGCATCATGTGCTTGGGTTGTGCCTACTTACTGAAGTCTAAGGCAAAACTTCAGCTGACATTCATGATGGAGGGGCAGAGACTTCAAATACTACAGTAAGCGCAGTCCTTATTAGTATAGTTGTAGACATTAGGGTTGTTCCATTTCACTGGAAGTCTGTTCAGCAAGCTAAGACATCTTTGCCAGCAAGCTTTGCCAAGTTTTTGTCCTGAATTTTTCTTTTTGGAATGTTCTCTGTTCATTATCCAGACAAAACCATAGGGAGAGGAACGTGGAGTATGGCAGGAAGGAAAAGGCTGGGGCAGGAGCACACTTGCAGGTGCAGTAGCACCCACAGATGTGGACCAGAGAGGGAGGCAAGTGGAATCACAGAGCAGAAGCAGAGGGAAGCAGTATGGGCCAGAAAATGTTGCTTCTCTTGAAGTCAGTAGCAGAATTTCTCAGGGCAGTGTGGAGGCAGAATTCAGTCATAGAAGCCTATGCAGACTGCTCACAGTTTGTCTCTGGAGCAAGCAGCAGAGTCAGTCCAGTCATGGTGGGTCCAGCAGGGCTGGGGTCTCAGAGCAGGGGCCAGCTGGGATCCCAGGGAAGGAGACAGTTATGCTACTGAGGGTCTTTAGGGTCAGTCACAATACTGACTGCAAACACAGGCCTGGTATTGTTCAGTGTCACAAAGGGCATCATTTCTCCATCTTATGGTAAAGCACCCCTTGCTTTGGTGGGTGGGAAGTGTCCTTTGGCAGTGTTTCTGATAGTGTGGAGGCACAGACTGTGCTTTCCTCTAGAATACAAGAAGAAAGTTTGAGAACTGTTGTCACAGATACCTCTCCCCAGCTTGATCCATTGCCATTTGCCAGCAGATTTCAATCAGTGCAGCAGTGTTCCTGTCTTAGTCAGTGTGAGTCGATATTTATAGCAGGCTTTTATGAGGCACTGTATCAAATGCCTGACTGAAATTCAGAGGCACTGCCCTACTGTGTTCACTAATTTTGTATCTCTGTCAGAGAAGCTGTAGCCTTTATAATCCTGTTAGGTGAAATCTTGATCCCATTAAAGGCAGTAGTGAAACTCCCTTTGACTTTCCTAAGGCCAGGATTTCCCTCAGGACTGACCCACAGTACAGTCACCTGGATAGTTCTAGAATGAGCCAGGGTGTCATTCACTTGAAACCTTACACTGAGCAGTGTAATGGAATGTTTCCCTCAGTGTGTAAGGCCAAGCCCATAGCCAGGGTAGTTTGTTGTAGCCCCTGATAACTGACCACACTGAAAGCATGGTAGTTTGCCTGACTTTACCTGATCAGTTGTTACTGATGCTGTTAAATTTACTGCCAGGGATAACGAAGTTTAGATTAGCAGTAAGGTAATTACTGGGCTGTATCTCTCAAGAAAGTCAGTTCTGCAGCAGAGTAGAAATACATTGGTACATGGGCTCGTCATTAAGACGAACATGGTTTTCACTAATACAATATTTCCGCCAATTACTGTGTTCCCTGATTACTTGCCCAAATACTGTATTATCTGTAGTGGCTTCTTTGTAGAAGTTGCCATTACTTTACTTGCTTTATATTCTTTGTTAGTTTTAAGGGGGTTTCATCTCTCTAGTCTCAATCTTTCAATAGTCACTTTTTCTTTTTTTTTTTTTTTTTTTTGGTTTAAGTATTCTGGCTTTACGTTACAGGTGGGGCTTTCAAAAGCCCTTTTGCCTCTATTCAGCTGTCCTACTGGCATCATGGTAAAGCAAGCATTGTTTTCAGTGGAAGTAGAGTTCAGCTGAATGTGAGAAAATGTCTTTCCCTGCTCTTCAGCTGTGATGCTAGGGTCTCGTCACATACAGATAGCTGTCAGTCTCATGTAGAGGCGTTTTTTTGTGCTCTCTGAGGTCTACAAAAGGTACTTGGAAGAAGCATGCCAGTCATTGGCAGGTTGAAGTCTGCTATGTAGAGCTCCATGTCTTCCCTGAAATTTTTTTAAGGATCTGCAGATTCAGAAAGACAGAAACCACTGATGCGTGTACATGCATTCCAGGAAAAAATGTATGCTGGGGACATAAGTGCTTTTTCCTGCTAGGATGAGCATTTTGAATCAACAATATGCAGTTCCAACCTCTCTAGCAGTAACTTAGCATTAAACATTTAGTTAGCATTTCTGAAGAGGCAGTCTGACAACCCACTGTGCTCTGCTAATAAGAAACACTGCTATTTCTTATTAGATATGCTGTTTAGATACGTATTTGATCCCAAATCTCATGGAGCCACTGACTTCAATACCCATTCATTCCTGTTCATGAATCTGTTGCATGTACTCCAGTATTTCACGAAGTTCTAATGTACTGCATGTCATACTGCATAGGTAGTCATCTGCCTTCCAGATGTAAACTGCTTCTTTAGTGTTGTAAGCGGCGGCGTCTCTGTCACCCCACCTTGGAGTGCCCAACACTTAGTATAACAAATTACCACTAAGCAGAAAGGAAGCAGCACGTAGCTGGAAACACTGTACCTATTATATATTATTTATTTCCCATCTGTTCTATTTTCTTTCATTTTATTTTTAATCAATATCATGCAGTTTTGAGCAGAGTTAAGTGGTCCTGTGTCATAGACCACAAATTGCTGCCTAACAGTGTCATCGTTTTTATAAGTAAGTGCTTCAGGTGGTGGCTTGTCAGGTGTTTCAGGCTAATAAAAGGGGGAAGTAAAATTCAGTAAAAACAAATAAATGGTGAAATAAGAGCCAAAAATCAGTGAGTGGAAAATAGGTCTTACTCAGGCTATCCAGGAGCCTGGGTAGCGCCTGTTGACTTCAGCAGTTTTGTTTCAATAAAAACTTGGAAAATATAAAGTAAGGATTTTAGGATCTGCCTCCTGCTCTGCCCATATAAGTACTGCTACAAACAGTTGCCGAGTCCTGGAGTATCATTACATAAGAGGTTTTCTGAGTATCTCTAGATACTAAATTCAAATCTCCATAGCAGATGGGGCTGCACATGGGGGGCCATGTCACCCCCATGTCAGAGTGTCACCACCTAGCAGTGCAGCAGACATGATGCTCTGGGGCAGGATAAAGGGGGCATCTTCTTGTCAGGACAGCCTTCCTCTGCAGCACTGGGCATGACCACTTGCCAGGGCAGGGTTGCATAATCTGAGTATACATACCGATTTTGGCACCAGTGTACAAAATGACAAGAATAGTACCTTACTATTCTTTCACTAATCAAAATACTGAATTGCCAGGGGGTTAAATAAGATCAGAACACTTTCCCACAAAGTGAAGTAGGCAAATGGGATGGAGGCTATAGGCTGTTCAGGAGGGATAGGCAGGACAGGAGAGGTAGAGGAGTTGTACTGTGTAAGGGAGAAGTTTGGCTGTATAGCCCATACAGTTAGGAATTATATGGTTGAGAGCTTCTCTCTGAGAATTAGGGAGATGGAAGACAAAGCATATATACTGATGGGATCTTAAGGATCAGGGTTAACTGGACCAATCATGAAATCTATTTGACTTGAGAATGTACCTCTATAGAGGATTTATCTCTGTGGCATGCACAATGAACAGTACAGTGAACTATATTCTTCCTGACTGTGCATAGTTCAACTTGTAAAAAGTCTGGATAAAACTCTACATTATCATCATTAGTCTTTTCTACAGTAGTCTTGAAATCTGCCATGTATGTGATATTGCTCCTTCTGTCTAGGCAGGCAATGTGGTGACAGGAGAGATGGTAGAAGAACTTATTCTTTCTGGAGCAGATATTATTAAAGTGGGTATCGGACCAGGTAAGTCAAATCCAGTCGTAGCATCATAGAATCATAGAATCACAGAATGGTTTGGGTTGGAAAAGATCTTAGGATCATCTAGTTCCAACCCCCCCTGCCATGGTCAGGGACCCCTCACACTAAACCATGTTGCCCAAGGCTCTGTCCAGCCTGGCCTTGAACGTTGCCAGGGATGGAGCATTCACAACTTCCTTGGGCAACCCATTCCAGTGCCTCACCACTCTCACTGTAGAGAACTTTTTCCCTTATAGCTGACCTGAACTTCCCCTGTTGAAGTTTAAACCCATTACTCCTTGTCCTATCACTACAGTCCCTAATGAAGAATCTCTTCCTGGCATCCTTTTAGGTCCCCTTCAGATACTGGAAGCCTGCTGTGTGGTCACCATGCAGCTTCTCTTCTCCAGGCTGAACAGCCCCAATTTTCTCAGCCTGTCTTTGTATGGGAGGTGTTCCAGCCCCCTTATCATCCTCGTGGCCCTCCGTTACCACTGTTACCTTTGGTGATGGTGGAGGAGTTGTCCAGATGGAAGCAGAGTATAATGCTCTTTGCTTGCCTGTTAGGATGCCTAGGCCTACTTGGATCAATAAAGTAACAGTGATACATGGACAGCATGGTAGTGATCTGTACTGCAAAGTGTTACATATTACATACTCTGGCAGTGTAGATGCCTGCTATTGGAAGCACTGAATTGCCTGAGTTGCTGACGTTAACATCCATAATATGTGTTGTAGGAACACTTTTTATAGCCTGTTGAAAAGAGGCTGAGTCATCCCAGCTAAAGCTCAAAGGATACTCTGTTCAGGTATCCGCTTCTATCAAGAAAAGATAAAAAGAAAAGAGTTTCTGAATAGCTCTGTGATTTGTATTCTGTTAAGCTGAGGTTGCCCATCTTGTCAGTGCCTTCATTATTTCAAAGTATGAAATGGTATTAATTGTAAAGTATGGATAACATTGCCTCTACCTGTTACTATTGCCGGGAGCTAAAGCTTACATTAATGTACCTATCGCTGTAACATTCCCATGGATAAATGGCAGGACCCTAAACTTCTGGTTTTCCTACCTCCCCTTCCCTAATATTGTTGTATGGCATATACTGACATATTGTCTTCCCTTTTTAATTTCCCTCCCTTGTGCATTTCTTCATGTGCTCTTTCCCCTTGCAATTTTCTTCTTAGGCTGCAGCTGAGGTCACCATACGTGGGCTAGATTTTAAACTGGTTAACAAAAGTGCCGCTTACAACATAGCTATGATCAAGCCAGTGCAGTGCAGGCAGATTGCTTACTCTACAGTGCCAAATAGTTACGGCCCATGAATGGATAATTTGAGCAGAGCAGATGTAATAAAGGTTGCAGTTGTGCCCAGGAAGACAGCAGACAATAAATACTGCAAAATCCGTGAAGAATGAACAGCAGAGATGTCATGGTACAATTGTCATAGGCAAGTTCAGATACGAAAGAAGAATTACTGTAGTTTGTAGCCTCGAAGTGGAAACAGTTAGGAGTAAGTGCTGTATAGCCCTCCCTGGAGATCTTCCTGAGCAGATCTGTACAAGTTGACCACCAAAAACAAGTAACAAATGTTCCTCACAGAAGATCAGATCTTGACCTCTTTTCCAGATAATGGTCCAATCCTGTGGCAAGCAGCAGTGATTTATTCTAAAGTATTTCATATATAAGTACATACCCCATGGAAATTCTTTTAAAACTAATTTTTGTCCTACTTTGCAGAAATACTTCTCAGTGTTTTCATGTTGTCGGTTTCTTGAAAAATCTCTGGTTACTAGTAGCTCGGGTATACCTGAAGCTGGGTGAAGGGATGCAGATTTCACTGCAATTGGTTTAGAATCTGTTCTGAAGTTCTTGTTTTCATGCATACCTTTATGGTCTGTGTCCTAAATTTTAAGGCCCAGACAGGCAAAAAGCAGTTCTCATCTTGACTCTGATTTTGAGGAGAAAAATAGAGAAGGTATTCCAAAAGATCTATAGCCATGTTATTGTGTTGAACCATAATTGAAGTGGGTTTCTTACATACATGTATATAGTTCTATTTTTATATATACATGCATTGTGTATGTGTGTAAAAATATACTTTAATTAAATGTAATTAGTATATTTCCTGTAATATTACATTATATAGCTTCTGGATGATTACTTATCTAACTTTTTAAATGTGTGCTGTTTTTCTTATATTCCCAACTACTGTGATCAATCAAATATTTCTGCTTAAGTATTTGGCAGAAAGATGGGTTTCTCTCCCTTGTGCAAAATCATCACAAAAAAGAAAATAAAAACATAGATTTTCCCTAAGAATTATTTCTTAAAGCATACATAGAAAAGAGATATAAATGTTTATTGGCAGAAATATTCAGGTATTAAAGGCTGCTGCTTGGTCTCAGGCATGTGACTCTGGTCCTTTTGTCCCCCTTCTGTTCACGCACCTCACTCAGATTTGCTTTCTCGTGATGCAGTAATCCTCTCACTCAGAAGCATTACGCATGAGACCTAAACTGGGAACTGTGGCCCTGGAGAAGAAAGGGGGTATATTAATTCACCTTAATTACAGCTCCCATGAAGCAGTGCGGTAGCATTTCAAAACTCAAGTTCCTATGTGTTCCTTTTATCCATGAGAAGCCAACACTGGCAGTAGAGACTTCTTGAGGGGAAAAATAATACAGATAGAAACACATTTTTTCTACAAGAAAAATAAAATAAGATGTATCTTCTCAGTCAGCCTAGTGGGCAGTGTTTTTAACTCTTATTTTCTTGTCTAGGTTCTGTGTGTACCACTCGGATTAAGACAGGGGTGGGCTATCCACAGCTAAGTGCTGTTATTGAGTGTGCTGACTCGGCACATGGCTTGAAAGGACATATCATCTCTGTAAGTAAATATCATCTACTCTCAGATTCCTACTGTGCAAACTGTTGTGGAACAGGAGAATCAAACAGTCCAGTACTCTGCATGTTAAAGTCTATCCTGTCATCTCTAGTTGACCTCTATACTAGCTCTTCAGGTAGTCAGCGGAGATTTAAATGTGAAGAAACCAACTCCCTCTAATGTTTAAAAAGACTTGGGCTCCTCACTCCTGTTTGTGCCTTTGGAAAGCTGCTTCTTGCTCCCTGAACGGAGTAAGCTGTTACGTGAGCAGAATAGGAAGCTTGATAGTGTTTTCACATGGAAGCAGACAGTCATTCCTACAGAAGATTTCTGAAAAATGAGTGAAATGTAAACATGGCTTTCCCCAGGGAGTCCAACTGAGAGATAGGCAGGCAGTGGAGGGGAGTACAAGGTAAAACAATATGAGCCCATCTGCGCCATAGTAGCTGGATTGATTCAGATAGCATCCTCACAGAGCTCTCTGTGCAGGGGCAGGAGTGTTTCAGGGGTGGTTCTTCTGAGCATGGCTGGCACTTGAGCAAGGTATGTTCTCACAAAGCTCTGGAGAAATGAGCCTGTGGAGAAAAAAGAGCATGTTTCTGCATTGCCTGCTAATGGCAGCTTCTGTTCTACCAGCAAGACCAGATTCACCTCGCACAGAAAAAGTAAATCTGTAAGCATGATCTCAGACCTAGCTAGACTGCAATCTACAGAATCCCAACAGGTAGCAAGGAAGGCATAGGGGCTAACCAGTGTGCTGTGCTTACAGGTACCCTTACAGCCAACAGTCTCCTTCTGTGGCCTTGGAAAAGACCACACACTGAATTTTAGATCTAGTGCCAAGTGAAATCACTGGAGGCCCTGATTTGTTTGACCCAGTTGTGACTAGTAACCATGTGAGGAAGGGAGTGCGTTGTGTTGTTGAGGAAGGAGGGGAGAGGAGAGCAAATTGACTGGGGATGGGCAAAGGGCTTCACTGTATTGCTTGGAGCTGTGCGTATAATGGAGTGGGAAAACAAGTACATGTTGCAGTTGGATCTCTTTTGCTCTTTATTGTTAATTCATATGCATTTCCTCCTTTCTGTTGCTCCCCTATATGAATTTTGCAGGAAAAAAAAGCAGTCTGTGAGTCTATGACTTGGTCAGTGTTACAAATGTGTGTGCAGAACATGTGTGCAATAAAGCATGAAAGACTGACTCATTACTATGAAGGCTGGATAACTGTAGGTGTCATCCTAGCAGTAGCGCTTAGAGACCCATCCTAGTTTTGCAATAATCATTTTCTGCTAGCAACCCTCAGAAGAATGTTATTATCCTGATTTTACGGTAAAACAGGGAGTATGTACTTAGTCTGAAGAATTAGACAGTTCTGTACTATTCCTTCTCTCCTTTTCTGCCTTGGGGATGGATCAGCTCCTCACCTGCTTAGGTCATGTTGGCTTCAGTGAGCCCACGCCTATCAACCCCCTAGCCATTACAGGGTGAGCACAGGAGGGCAATTTAATATCTGCTGCAACATCTGGGCCTAGAGAATGACCTTTGGTTGTAACTGGGGTCGCTAGCACCACTGCAGCTCAACTGTCACCCAAGCTAAGTACGCTAAAGCAAGGGTGTGGATATTACGCCTGAATTCTGCAGCATTCAGGTAGATACCAGTGTGTTTACTGAGGAAAGAAGGCTGGAGTGCATGGTCAAGCAAGAGCTCTGACAAGAATATCACAAAAGAAAGGTATCCTCCTGTGGGAAAAACACCATATGGGAGCAAGTCAAAGTGTATAATTGGGTCTAGTGGCATCCCTGAGAATGTCTCACTACTGTCATTCTAGAGATTCAGGAAGGGCACACTCTGACCACTACAGGCAGAGTATTACCACAGTTATCTACAACAATTTGGCAGGATAAAATATGTCCAGCAGTTTTTTGTTATATTGATATGGAAGTAGAAGGAAGGATGTGGAAAGATTCAAAGCCTACCAGCTTTGAATCTTCATGTAGATTATAGCTGATGGTGTGGTATGGGTTAGTCCCCTGGGGCACTTTCTTGCATCCACTTCTGTCTTGTCCAGTACATTCATCAAATGGCTCCTCTTTCTTGTCATGTTGGCTCAGTTTACCTATGAAAGGAAAGAAGTCCCACTCACAGAATGAGAAGGTGGTGGTGCTGAGCACAGTACTGTGAGGAACACAGCACACTAGAAGCCCATTCTGCAGTAGCTCTGCTAGGATGGCAGCACAAACTGGGATTTCAAATGTTTGTATTCCTAAAGTAATCATGTATGAGTTTGGGGGCTGATATGTGGCAAAGAAGGTGACAATTTTTAGGCAAACATGATAGTCCAAGCGAACGCCTGGTGTCTCTCTAGAGTCACAGAGAGAAGGGGGAGGTGAAATCGCACCAGTTACTTTCCTCATGCTTTAAGACTCAAAGTTCACCTCAAAATGAATCTTTCATGACTCACTGAAAGAAGAGAGGAAACCCTGTCTAAGATACAGGCACTGTTTCTGTCCCGTGCTATTTGTCTGGGAGCCAATAGTCTCAGTTTTCATTCTCGCTGATCCGTTGGCCTTGAGAAAGTGCAGCAGTGAGTTACAGTGGAGGGGCCATTTAGCAGGAGAGCTCCTTCAGAAACACCCTGCATGAGATAAAGTTTCTGTTTCTTGCAGGTCAGAGAACTACTCTATCTGATAGAGAGGCAGTCACGTATTCTAGTAAGCTAGCAATGTGGGGAATGGAAAGCAGCCTTGCATCTGTCCTATCATCTCATTTGTCTATCATTTGATAGGGATCCCTGTTTCCCCTTCACCCTGCCTGGGTGACAGGCTACCAGCATTCAGTGAAAAGGATGACTAAGGGGTTCTTCACCCAGCTACTGCCATACCACCTCTTCCTCCACAAAGAACACTTTCAACACAGAAATACGCCCAGCATATGTACTTCAGAATAAAGCACCATATGTATTGTTTCTACTGTTGTATATGCCACATACTTTACATATCTTCTGCATAATAAATAGCTGTCTGTTTGCAGATACTGTAGGAAGGCCTGGTTATACAGTTTATTATAAAGATTGCTTGAAACATATAAATCATAGTTATAAGCTTATTGTAAGTTGCATATAATATTAAAATCCAAACCAGTTCATACTGGTTTTCCATAGAGTATTTATTTTCCTCAGGCTAAATTTTGTTGTTGTAAAATGGTTTATGTGTTCAGAGAACAAGACTGGGGAAAGTAACATTTTAGCCACATTAAAATAATCATGTGACTGGAAGCCTGTTTTTCCCTCTCCTTCAGTTTAGCACACACTTGTCTCAGAATCATGCCCTCTACAGGCCCCCTGGCCAGCCTTTCCAGAAGGCTTACTTCAGAATAATACCACTGCTCCTGAATTCACAGGGGGATTTGTGCAGCTACGTTTCCCCAGGGCTCTGGCATAGAGGCTGAGCCTGCAACAAGCTCTGTGACTGAAGCCCAGCAGTTGTACAAGTCATTTTAAGTCCAGAGTCAGGCCCCTACTGGGACAAGCTGAACTGCAAGGGGAAGCTTCCCAGACAGTGCAGCAGAAGCACAGTCTTATTTTCTAAACAGAGTGTTTGATTTTTCACATGGAATGAAGTGGTTTAATGCATATAGCTTCCTCTGGCAAAACTGCTTAGTTTGTCCCCTTTTTGTTCCCCTTCTGGGAATCATTAAATTTACCTGCTTATGTGAAGTAAGTGGAGACATCTACAGATAAAGAAGTGCTGTGAATCATCATTGGCTCCTTTTATCTTAAATGATAACTGATGAGCTTTTGGGAGAGTCTCTTGACCTGCTCAGCATTTGTAATTTGGTGACATTCAAAGTGCTATTTTTGGAAGCTGATGATTAATGATTACACACAAAGGCCCCCATCCCCATGGTACTTCTGAAAGCATAAAGCCTCCATCAGTGTCACCACTGGGTTAATTATAAAAGTCAGACACTGAGCCACCCAACAAGAACAGACTGAAACCCATCTACCAGAGAGCATTCATAGCCAGCCTGTCTCACTCAGACAGCAGGACTCACGCAAATTCCTGACACTATTCTTTGAAAATTATTAGACCCCTTTTTCTACCTCAGCTCTTCCTTCCCTGACACATTCACACACACTAACACCCTCCTCCAGGCTCTGACAGACTTGTCAGAGGGAAAGAATTGCACAAGCCGAGCCCTTGACAGGAGAGAGATTCAGCTGTCAGCCCAGCACTCCTTTCTGGAGCTGACAGCAAGAATTTCTAGCTCAACAAAAGGCATAATGTGCTAGAGGTTATCAGCAAATGGAATAAAAGCCTTTAAAGTTCTACCACGTGCTCTTTGCAGTGGGATGCCCTTTGAAAAGTGACTTGGTTTTGGATCCACCTGCTCAGTTTGTGTCTGAATCCTTCTCTGCACCCAGAGAGGTTCTAACACTCAGCCCTACTGTCAGCTACCCAAGAAGGGCAGCTCTAAGATGGCTGATGGTAGAGGTGTATGGCTGTGCTCAGCCGCAGGTCATATGCAGGCATGCATTTCTGCCAACAGGGAGGTGAAACAAAATGAGGTAACCATACGGACTGGGGAGTAGCTTCAAAAGCAGGAAAGCTGTTGGCAGTCTGCAACAGACCCTGATCATTAGAGGAATGGGGAGCTCTCTTGGTATAATGGCTGTGCAGAGTAGAAGGATCTTTCATCTGATGCTCAGACCTTTACAGACCCTAAAGAACTGTAGCACATGATGAGCTCTGCTGTGTGCCATTCCTCTTTTTACAGCCCCGTCAGACATACATAACTTCCCTCCCCTCCACTGAAACCCCCTCATCAGCCACTTTGCTCTGCACTGAAACTGAAACACATAGATCTAAAATGCTGAAGATCTCAAAGCACTGTTGTTTCTTTACCAAATCTCTAGCAAAAAGTGAGGCGTTTGATGAGAGATTCATTTTCACTTACCAAAGATTAGATTGCCCAATTTGTTTAGAGAATATCAGATGAAAATCCACCATAGCTGGTGGTATATTTGCTCACCCCCTCCCGCTGTGACCTTTCAATGTATTGTAAACTGCTGAGAAAGATTTTTTAAATGTCTTTGGTGGTTTAAGGTAGGGGTTTGTGGTACGTCTGCATTGCACAGCCTTGCATTAAAATGGCAGGGAATGATTCAGATCATCAGAGGAGGGTTTTTTTTTCCCAGTTCTCTGAAAACTCAGCCAAGATGATGGATGTATAGCGACGGTGCACAGTCAGCTCTTGACACGCTGTTCCTGAGCAGCGACCGTTCTGCTGCAGGTTACAGGGTGCCAGTGCTCACCTGGGTCCCCGAGTGAGCTCACTGCCACTCACTGTCGTGTGTTCTCTCGCAGGATGGAGGATGCAGCTGCCCAGGAGATGTCGCCAAAGCGTTTGGTAAGAACAGCGCATAGTGCCACCCGTTACACCCCGCGTGTCTCCAGCAGCGTCAGCAGTGGTGCAGGAGTCCATTCCACCCTGAATGTGTAACCAGTACTAGGTTACATTCGTCCCTGTGGGTGACTCCAGTGAAATTGGTGCACCAGACATGAATTTGCTCTTTGGACCAGAGAGTCCAAATTCTGCAGTGCAAAACATACAGTGATCGAAGTCCTATTTAGAAACAATCTGCCAGGTGTGCACAAGATACAGCACTGGGACAGTAATACAAAGAAAACTGATAAGGGCTTCTTCTGAGTAGGGTTCAAAGATGCCTGTAACATTGCCAGATTGGGCTGACTGGGTCCGTGGATGGAGAAGGAGCTGGTGGAATGTGTGTTAGGCAGAAGAACAAAACAAAAGACAGGCCAGATCCCTGGAAATGTGCTTGGGATCAGTTGTCCAGTCAAAGTGATAGGGTTTTATTTATACTGTATCCCCTAGAGCTGAGAAGATGTCTAAAATATCTAAGTTAATAATTGACAGATTTTGCTCTCATGCCAGTAGCTTCGGTGAATTGCACCAGCTCTTGCTAATAGAATAGAGAATTTAATCTGTGAGTGGTTTCTGTTGGGCATGAAAGTTACATCACTGGGGGGAATCAAGGTCAGGATTGTCAGCCATAACCTTGTTGCAGCAGCATATGTGAAACAGGTGCTAAATGCATCCTGGGCTGACAGGATGTTTAAAGACAGTCCCCAACCCCCAAAATGCCAGACCCTTTGGAGATGTCACAGTGGGGTAATACCTGGAAGACAGCAGGACAGCACAGTCTCTCATTGGGATTTCGGATCATTGAAATCATTGGGTATGATACAAGAGAGAGTAAATTATTATACAGCGTGTCTGCTTGGCAGGAAGCTTTGCAAGTAGGGGAAGCAGGGTCAAGCCTAAACTCAGGTTACAGACCTGACAAGAAAAATGCTGGGCCTTCTGGAAAGGTTGAAACCAAAATCTTGTCTTCTAAGTTCGCAGACAGCTCCTGGTTTTAGACAGGTCAGATGACAAGGAAGTCTTAATTAGAGAATTTTAAGCATAGCAGTGGAGTGATTGCTATGACTGAGGGGTCTGCTCAGTCACAGGATTTCATGTCACCTTTGTGTTACCCAATGGGTGATGTGAGATAGATAGGGAACAGATACTTGCAGTTGCGTGATTCTGACATAGTTGAACAGCAGCATCCACCCTTTCTGACAATAAGATTGCATGAAGAAAACCCCTAGCCTCTCATCAGCCCAGCTCACTCTGACATCATGCCACCTTCAGTGAGGCCTTTATTCTGCCTGACTTTTCTCTGGCTCCGCAGCTTGCCTGGTTCTTGCTAGTGGTAGTGTCGCTGGGAGCTTGTGAACTGAGACTATGACCTCACTGCATTCCCAGCTGCCTGCACAGGAACATGGCCCATGGAAAAAGTCTTTTCTTCAGCAAGAGCATTTCCAGAAGTTAGAACAACAGGAAGCAACTTCAGATTGTTTATTTTTTTTTTCCCTTTGTGATGTTTATAGCAAGTGTGAAGGGTCCCTGTAGTCTCTTTGGGCTAACTGAATAGAAATTTGCTTGAAACCTGTGAAAGGGCAGATTATGGCCCTGCTGATTGTCAGGGTGTGCTGGGATTCACAGTGGCATATGTTTGAAGGCTACCACAGGTTGTCCCTGGGCAGAGTAGCATCAGAAAGCTGAGATTATAAAGGCAGTAGTTCTATTCTGACAGTAGGGCAGACAGAACAGTCTGACTTATGTGTCACAGGTACAGGGCTTGAACTGATAGAGATTACCCTAAGGCAATAAATATACTAATCTGGTTATGTAATTGAGGTGGACACACTGTGGACATCTGACTAGCTGGAGATAGGTGTGCATTTGTCAAAGGTGGGTGGCAAAATAAGCTGCTAGATAACGTTACTACTATCAGTGTTTATTGGTTATGTGAACCATGTAGAAGATAGCCTTATTGCCCAGCATTTACAAGCCAAAGCTTTAACACTGATACTGGATTGTCTAGCACAGACCTCTGTGATTGCTGAGAGCCTCTTACAGGGAGGAGTTACATAAATACATAGGCTAGCAGAGACCAGGTGATAAAACACACAGATGTACAATTTCACCTGGGGGTGGAGGCCTGGACAAAGCATGGACTAAAGACCCAAAGAGGGCTTTCGGTTAAAGTGATTATACTGTCTCTTTTTAGTGGATCATTGTAAAGTCTTCATGAAAGAGAAGTTGAGATGTTCATTATAAAAGAGTGACAAAGCAGCCATTTGAATCATAAAAAACATGAGAGTCCCAGATGTGAAGACTAGCATTGACAGATGGCTAAAGATGTGACTGGAGGAGGCAAGTTCATGGGAAAAGGAGAAGTAGGGTAGTAGGGTGGAGAGCAAGTGAAGAATTGTGGTGAACCATGAAGAAGTTGCTGAGAAGCTTTACAAGTAGAAGGTTGACTGGTCTCAGGAGGCAGAGGCAGATTGGGCATTTTGACAGAGAGGAAACCAAGGTAGAAGCCTATTTAAAAAGGCAAGGAACAAAGAAGCACTGAAGGTGGGAAACAAAAATGCTAGGAGTGACAGATATTTTTGAAGAGACTGCTGGAATTCTGGAACTGCTGGTGGGAACCTGGTATGGATTTGGCAAACCGAAGATGTCACTGCCATCTGGGTATTGGAGATGATAGTGGAAAAGATGTAGGTTGATCAGGAAGAAAAAAGGTGTTCCAATGTAGGAATGAGAGAAAGCATGGAAGAACTTTGTTCAGGGCTCTCAGTTCACATAACTGCACCCTTGGAAAGGCTGATAACACATTTGTCAGAAAGCCCCAGGGAGGCACTACTGTCTCCCTTTTTAAAGATGAGAAGTTGAAGCACAGAAATACTAAGTTCAGTTGCCTGAGGTCACATATATTTTTGTGACACAGCCAGGAACAGAATGTGCCTTTTGAATCCTACGCCAGCATCTTTAACACAATACTGCTGTTCCTTACAGCAGTGGTGAGAAGAGATACAGGCACGGGGAAGGAGAAGGAATGAAAAAGCATGTAGAAAAGTCAACTGGGGACATATACTGGTTCTGAAATACACCTGACAGATCATACGGGGTTTTTTTTTCTTGTTTTCATTTGTTATGTGTGTATACCTACTGTTGCAAAGGCTTGCTGGGTCAGCTGGAGCACAGGTGAACATTGATTCCAGGACCAGCTGTGGTCCAGGCAAACCTACACTGCATCTGCCTGGAGGGCTGCCCAGGACACAAATCCAGGCTGACTCCAGCTGAATTTGTGCAGAGCCAATCTGGTTATCACTAACTTCTATTATCAGGCATACAAAAGACATCTCAGGGACTCCATCCAGATCCAGCAGAACTGTGTGAGTGCTGCAAGATTGGGCTGGCGTCAGCACACATATTCTGTAATGGCTTGAAAGAGAAGGCACTGTGAAATGTGAATGAGCAAAATCAGCCTAGATACAGCATAGGCATCAAAGGGGAAGACAGTGTGTTGAAGTGGCATTGTGTAGAAAGAGGACAAGTCTAGCGATCTCTGGGCGAGCTGCTGGGATGCTTGTATGCAATGTATCCCATCACATCTTGTATTATCTAGGGAGTTGTTGCCAGGTGTTCCCAGTCCGCCACAACCTAAAATAAAGGCACACTATCTGTACTTGAAAGACTGCAGCTGGGTGTTGCAAACATCACCAGAGCTTCTGGTCATACAGAAAACGATGCAGAAGAAAGAACATGCTAAAAAATACAGCTTCCTGGTTGGATGTTAACTGATAGAAAAGTAGTGGAACAGACTTGAAACTTTCAGACATCTTTGTAATACTGAAGCAGGGTGGAAAGTTCTGGAGACCATATTTAATATGGGGTTGTTATTCCTAGAGCTGCAGGGCAATAAGCATGTGTCATTCCAGTGTTTACATGTGCTGTGTCTGCTGTAACATGGCTCCTCTCATCTGGAAGAACTTGATGAATTATGTTGTAGTTTGCAAAAGTTACTCAAGTCAGATGAGTTTCAGTCCTGTAATTCAAGCTTATTTGCTTTTCTCCCAAAATACACAGTCAAAAGAAAAAAAAATAGGTACTTAAGTGCACAGGAACAAAAATTCTGTGATTCTGAAGTGTAGATTTCATGAGACTGTTTTGCATTAATAATTTGGAAGCTGTGAGACACACAGCCAGAGACAGGTCTAGAACTGGAGATCAGGGGGTAAAGGCAAAGAGTCCAGAGTATCCTTTGGCAGGCCTTTGACTTGTTTTAAATGCCCTCTTTGAAACCTTGACCCCAAATCCATCCCTCCTTCCTTGTGTTGTTTTCTTCTACCCCTGAAGAAGACATCAACTAGATTTCCCAGGGTACTTATTTTTCTGCAAAGGTAGAGCAAGATTGTGCCAGGTAACAACAGGAGCTCCCCACCAGTAATTGAGAATGTCTTAAACGATGAGCATTCCCTTTGTTTTTGGCAGGTTAATAGTAGTATCAGATGTGAGTCAAACTGAGGCTGTAAAACTCAGCCATCTGAAATGAGAGAGCTCAGGAAAAATCTGCCAGGTAGTTGGCATGATTGGACACCTGAATGGGTGCCTGGCTATAAATATTGCTTGTGATGTGCTCAGCAGTTTTGCACCAGCCTCATTTTTAATATCTCTTTACCATGGACATGCTGTTCCTTTCAAACAAAGACCAGGCAAAAGGAGGTGAAGTCAGCGGAGCAGCTGGGTGTTCTGCCCCCAGGCATTGCTGCTAGGTCTGCTCTTTGGCAAAGAGGCAGAGGGAGGGAACTGGCACTCTCCATGGTTGTCATGTACTCTAAGATCAAAATATTCCCAAATTCAGGTTTGTCTACAGAGCTTTTAAACAGATGGCAAAAGGAGAGCAGAGTTGATAATGATTTCCCTCTTCAGATTTCAAGGTCCGGTGCAATTGTTTGGATAGTGAGAGAGATCAGAGCCTAATGCCAGACTTACCTAGCCTGGGATCTCCTCATAGTGGGGTGGGGTTAGTTCAGGCTCATCTGCTTCCTATGAAGTGAGGTTTATAGCCATGTTCTTTTGCCAGTTCTGGGAAGAAGTTGTGCAGGGAGGAGGCCTGTTCCGACACAAACGCATTGAAGAAGCAGAGAGTCTGAACAGGAAAATGCTTTGTTTTAGGGGTGGGTCACCACAGGCTCATGAAAGAGCAAAAGCCAGGCTTTTCCAAGCAAGACTAGATAATGCCAGATTATCACAGGAGGAGCTGCTGGTGGAGTAGTTACAGCCCAGCTGGAAATATTGGAAATCACAGTAGAAAATAAAGAATGATTCCAAAAACCTTCTTCCTGATCTTACTCCCAGTGGAACTGATTTCATGATTTGCAAAGCTGGGGAGATGGACAGACTGAACAGGCACAATTGAGTATTCAGTTTGTTATTCTGTATCTGGAACGTATTTCGGAGTTGTAGCTATGGGTTAGAACTCCTTTGTGGTGCATGCTGAGAACCACAGAACCCAGGCACGGTAGTCCTTAGCCCAGAGTTTTTAAAGAACAGGAACCAGATGCAGACCCATCCAGATCTATTTGGTAAGGGATTACCCAGACCTACACTGAACCCATGACTGATGGACTTGAAAACCCCATCATTTCATTTTAAAATCTGCTTGGTTTATGTTGGGAGGAGTACATTACATTCATGAGTATGCCTGCCTTCGGAGTACATTCCCACACGTAGCTTGTACCCTAGAAAGGTCTTGAAGTAGGAGCTATCGTCTTCTCTGTACAGCACTGAGCTCAGCAGGTCACAGTTATAGTAAGGAACTGTGCTCAGATACTGTTATGAAGTGAAGGGTTAAAACTGAGTTTGAAAATAAAGAGTGAGGGGTGGAGTAGAACAATGTGTATCTTTGTCACAACAGAAGAGGATTCTTTCTATTTAAAATACCAAAGAAATACAATTCAGTATATCTCATTCTTCCAAGTTCTCTGTGTCTATTACAGGAGGGGACTTGCTGTACCAAACTATTTAGGGCTATTGTTTTTGGAGGCCTCTGTGTGTTTGCTTTGTCTTTCACCCTCTTCTCCCTTCCCTGCTTTCTTATGTGTTGCTTTGCTGATCACAGGAGCCGGTGCTGATTTTGTCATGCTTGGAGGAATGTTTGCAGGCCATGACCAGTGTGCTGGAGAGATTATAGAAAAGAATGGCAAGAAGGTGAAACTCTTCTATGGAATGAGCTCTGATACAGCCATGAAGAAGCATTCAGGAGGGGTTGCTGAATACAGGTACGAATTCCACACGAGCAATTGCACTGAGCCAGCTGTCCAGTAACTTCTGGTTCAGAATTGCACAAAGGGCATGTGTTGGAAACAGGCCCATGCCTCTATTCCTCTCTAGGAAGATGTTACCAACACTTACAGCAGCAGATCTGAGAAAGGGGGAGACAGGGAGAAGTAGCTTGGGGTAGCTATCTTGAAAGCAACCGTGTTCACTCAGCTGCAGTCAGTGCATTGTGCTGTCACTGCAGTACTAGCTGCGTGGTCTGGGAAGTCATTAGGCAGTGTTCTGACTTATGGGTCTCTCAGGATATGTATATGGAACATGGCATACTAGGCTGCAGTTTCTGGCTCTCTGCTTGTTCAGGTGGGTTGTCCTGTTGGTGTAAGGGCTCCTGGCTGGCCCACATGCTCCCTTCTGTTTGCAAAAAGTGGGTGCTTGGTGAATCAGCTGGGGTTTCCCCAGTATAGAGTTGAGTTACCACTCTAGCACTAATGAGGTCCCAGGACCTCCAAAGCACTCTCAGTGACAGGCAGTAGTGGTTAGGCAGTCTTCTTAGGCAGCAGAATCCCGCTGTATAGTTTTCCCACCCCTTTTTAGGTCACAGAGCACCAGACTAGTGCCAAATCAGGCAGCATGCAGGAACCTGGGTTTTGAGCTAAAATCCTCAGGAGAGAAGAAAAGAAGACAGATTTTGCAAAGGAATCTCTTGTCCATTGCTAGTTTACTCTGGAAAATGCTGAGAATTTTGACTTTTTGAAAAAGCAGATTACTCCAGAAAACCTCTTATGAGTGGCAGGTATAGTCACTGCCCTTAGATAATTGTGTCTTTCGTTAGAGAATGTTTCATGTCTTACTGGTTTATTGAAGGGTCCCTTTTGATTCTTCTCTTCTTTTGGGGTAGATTCAGGCTCTGGTCCCATCTGGTAAACTGCTATTTGTAAGTCTCAGAGCCAGTGATGTTACCTACTGTTCCAGACATTCAGGATTGATGGGTTTTGTTGGCCTCATCTACTGCAACTACTCCAGCATGTGGGTAGCAGCATGTCCAGCTGCTACCATGGGCAAGAGTTGCAGCACTGTGAAGGTGACAGTGTAGAATGTAAAGCAGAATGGGATCCACAAACTAAAATGGAATTCACACTTTGTCACAGAGACGTGCTTATAGGACCATGACAATCCCAGACATCATGCTAGATAGAAAGCATCTTTGATCCAACCTCCTGTCTTCCACCCCAACATTGGTGTTTTTTGTCTGACACTTCTGAAAAGCTAAAATGCACCATAAAAAATGTGCACTAGTTCACTCAGCACTTCACAAAGTGGTAAGACTCAAGCTACTTCAGAGCATTTACACCTGTCTCCTTTGGCCTACTTAAATCATAGAATCATACAATAGTTTGGGTTGGAAGGGACCTTTAAAGGTGATCTAGTCCAACCTCCCTGCAATAACCAGGGACATCTTCAACTAGATCAGGTTGCTCAGAGCCCCATCCACCTGATCTTGAATGTTTCCAGGGATGGGGCGTCTACCACCTCTCTAGGCAACCTGTTCCAATGGTAAAAGCAGTTCACTGTAAAATATTTCTTCCTTATATCTAGTCTGCATCTACTCTCTTTTAGTTTAAAACCATTACCCCATGTCCTTTCGCAACAGGCCCTGCTAAAAAGTTCATCCCCATCTTTCTTACAAGTACCCTTCCAATATTGAAAGTCCATAAGAAGGTCTCTCAGAGCCTTCTCTTTCCAGGCTGAACAACCACAACTTTCTCAGCCTTTCTTCAAAGGAGAGGTGCTCCAGCCCTCTAATCATCTTCATGTCCCTCATCTAGAGTTAGCTCCAACAGGTCCACGTGTTTCCTGTGCCAAGGGACCCAGAGCTGAACACAGTACTCCAGGTGGGGTCTCACAATAGCAGAGGAGCAGAATCGCCTCCCTCAACCTGGGAGCTGGTCACGCTCCTTTTGATGCAGCCCAGGATACAGCTGGCTGATTTTTAGAGCCGAATTTTTCTGCATCTAATAGGATGAGAGGGGACAGGGATACGTTTACCTTCTGCCTGATGAGGATGTACATGTCTTTGTTGAGTGGAGTGTACCTGAGCCCATGTACCTCTTTCTGGGGCTCAGATCAGAAGGTAGTGTGTAATGTGCAAGGGATTTTGTATTTTATTAAGTCTCATATGGGGCTGCATCTATACCAGTTTAAAGCACTGCTATCTGCAGGATATCTGGTTACACTGAGGACAACCTGTGGATTGCTTAGGGGAGAAAACCATGTGACTGCTTTTCCACATGGTTGACCTGCAGGGTTTTTTTGGCACTGCAGGTTCAGTGTGATTTTGCTTTCAAGCACAACTATTTATTTGCAGAAGAAAGAGCTGCACAAGCATCCATCTGCATCCAAGATAAGCTGAAACGATGTACCAGGAAGATGTGGTCCATACCTCTGAGCTTTGATTCGTTCTGGGTTCATATGCAGTTCCCAGAAGCAGTGTACAGTCTGGGGGCTTTTTTTGTCCCCCAGCAAGTCTGCTTGTCATCAAAGCGACTGAACAAATGGTCTGAGTGGACAGCACTAGTAATTATCTCATAATTTAAAAGTGGCAGCTGCCAGTTACACAGCAGTGCTGGCACCGTTTTATCTGAGCTATGATAGCTTACTGTCCTTTGCTACCACGCGCTCATGTCAGCTGGAGTGTGGGAAAGGCTTGATGCTGATCAGGCATGTAGTTAATGGCAGCTCCCTGAGACATCACAGAGCAGCCCAAGCACACTGCATGGATCTCAGTGCAGCTTAGTAATGTAGAGCCTGGCCACCACAGAGCTGGTGAAAGTTGCAGGAAAATTTTGGGAGAGCTTTCTGTACCAGTGGGCCAAAGGACTAAGGCAGCTGTTAAATTCTATTCCACCTAGTTAAGTGTGCATGTGATCTGGCAACAAAACCTATTGCCAGCATGAGAATTAATTGACACTGGACCCCCTTAAAAATTGGGTAAAGTGCAAGTAGTATGTCTTGTAGGAGTAAAGGATGTACAGAATGGCAGTGGATTTGGCTCAGTCTAGACAGACCCTTTCAGTTCCTTATGGGCAATACTTCACAAATGCTGCTTGATCCATAGCTCTGTTTTGATTTGCATCCTGATTTTAGAGACCCTGGGGATCAAGTTCTAAAACCTTGGCAACAAGGGAGCGAAAGCATAATTGGAATTTTTAGTCCTTGTTGAGACACTGCCTTTTTGTGCCGCTTGTAGGTAATAGTGGTCTACTTGTCCTGTTTTTGGCTGGGATAGAGTTAATTTTGTTCCTAGTAGCTGGTGCAGTGCTGTGTTTTGGCTTTAGTCTGAGAACAAGGCTGATAACACCCTGATGTTTTAGTTGTTGCTAAGTAGCACTTACCCCAATCAAGGACTTTCCAGTCTCTCTGGCTCTGCCAGTGAGGAAGGGCACAAGAAGCCAGAAGGAAGCAGAGACAGGACACCTGGCCCAAACTAGCCAAAGGGGTATTCCATACCACAGCACGTCATGCCCAGTATATAAACTGGGGGGACTCACCTGTAAGGGACCAATCACTGCTTGGGTCAGGCCAGGTATCAGTTGACAGGTGGTGAGCAATTGTATTGTGCATCACTTGTGTTTATTTTTTATTCCTTTCTCATTTAAGTTTTATATTCTCTCCCCTTGTTATTTCCCTTAGCATTATTATTATTAGTAGTAATAGTAGTATATTGTATTTTAGTTGTTAAACTATTCTTACATCAGCCTGCAGGTTTTACATTCTTTCAGTTCTCTTCCCCATCCCACCCAAGGAAGGAGAAGCGGGGGTGAGAGTGGGTGTGTGGTCCTGAGTTACCAGCTGGGTTTAAAACACGATTTTACTGGTAGCTAGAACAGATCTGGACGTTAAATCTGTAAATCTTGGCTGTTAACTGTGAAGGAGACGATTCTCATCTTCTTCAGATGGCAACCACAGCGCAGAGCTGACTACCCATACCAGCCTTGGTCTTGGTCTTGCTTGATCTGTCCCAGCATGAGTGCCACTGTGGTTTAAAAATAGCAACTGTGAGTTACGCAGCACTGTAAATGTACTGGACATTGAAGGGATGACAGGAAACAGAGCAAGGCTCTGCTTTGAATTACTCTTACAGGAAAAGTTACAGGAAATTTAGTCACTTACTAGTTCAGCTTATGGCAAACTCCAACCAAAAGGGTTCTAAGTCAGCATTTTGAATGCTGGATACCCCAAACAGGCCAAGTCAGTGAGGCTTCTTTATATGCATTTTAAAAGCCCAGCTGTAAATCTGTATCATTGACCCCAATATGCTGTTTTGTCTTTAAAAGAGCCTGTGTGCTCACCATGTTTTATTCAAGCAGTGGGGCGCTCAGTGTGCTCAGCCCCCTGCTGAATGAGACTACTTGTCACTAACTTCATCTTCTAAAAATTACATGTTTTGGCTGGAAAACCTGAGCCTCCAGCAAATAGTTAAGTTAAAATTGACAGGTAGTGTGAGATGGCAGTAGCAGGGAATAAAGTTGTAAGAGTAATTGTTTTTGTAATGAATGTCAAGTTGATCCCATTTAATTTTGTATGAAATCTGTGTACCCAGATTCATTACTTTTATGTCATTTATATATTGGTTTATTTTTACATTTTTACCTCCTTCCATGAGGAACATGGATCAGAGCTGGGAATTTCTGAAAGGCAATGATTAAGTTTCTTTTATGGGAGAAAAGAAATAAGGCAAGTAGGAACAGAGACCACATGCAGCATTGTTCACTTAGAGCCAATTTGGTTTTGTTAACTATTTTGAGATTTTACAGGTTTTGTGTGAATGCTGCAGTTCTACTGTGGGCACTCAGCAATTCACAGCTGCTGTTAAGCTGGATTTTGGCATTTTATACTAACTGTAGAGTGGAATTTGGGCCACAGGGACAGAATAGGACCAGCAGCTGGCTGCTACTTACTGTCTTTTTCTGCGTCACAAATGATAGCCTAGAAGACCTGCCCC